ATAATAAAGTTTTATTTGGTTTTACAAATCTTTGCTTTCTTGAAGGGGTTCGACTTCGCCACTAAACGACACTTCCAGGTGTGTCAGACAGTGGGCGCTGTGGTTCCTCCCATATGCAAGACACTGTAATGAGATAGGAGTGGATGGGAGGAAGGACAGCGCCCAGCAGGAGGGCTCACTATCCAACACACCCTGAAGTATTGTTTAGCAGTAGAGCTCTTAACACTTCATGAATGTCAATATGAGTGTTTAGAGAAAGAATAATATGAAGCTAGGCAAAAAGTCTTTGGAAGATAAAATATAGACAATTAGTAACACAAACCTGGATACAATTACCATAATGGTACTTGTGGGGCAGTGCCAAAGCTTAAGGGAAGCAGCACTAAACTGTGATGTTGTTTTAATTGTTGGTTGTTATATTTTGTATGTGGCTAAATTCAGCAAGAAAACCATAGCTGGTGGCATTTTATGCTAGAAAACTACTTAGAACCCCCAAACATTATATATACAGTATATTTATTTTAAGCAGAGACCCTCCAGAATAAAAATGGTTGTTGTTGTCGTCGTTGCATTTTTTTTATGTTGTGCAATATTTTTCCAAGGTTTTAAAAAGGCAAATTTTCAGGGAAAAATACACTTAGAACCCCAAACATATTTTATATATATATATATATATATATATATATATATATATATACAATGGGGCAAAAAAGTATTTAGTCAACCACCAATTGTGCAAGTTCTCCCACTTAAAAAGAAGAGAGAGGCCTGTAATTGGCATCATAGGTAGACCTCAACTATGAGAGACAAAATGAGAAAAAAAATCCAGACAATCACATTGGCTGATTTGGAAAGAATTTATTTGCAAATTATGGTGGAAAATAAGTATTTGGTCAATATCAAAAGTTCATCTCAATTCTTTGTTATATATCCTTTGTTGGCAATGACAGAGGTCAAACGTTTCCTGTAAGTCTTCACAAGGTTGGCACACACTGTTGCTGGTATGTTGGCCCATTCCTCCATGCAGATCTCCTCTAGAGCAGTGATGTTTTGGGGCTGTCGCTGGGCAACACGGACTTTCAACTCCCTCCAAAGGTTTTCTATGGGGTTGAGATCTGGAGACTGGCTAGGCCACTCCAGGACCTTGAAATGCTTCTTACGAAGCCACTCCTTCATTGCCCGTGAGGTATGTTTGGGATCATTGTCATGTTGGAAGACCCAGCCACATTTCATCTTCAATGCCCTTGCTGATGGAAGGAGGTTTGCACTCAAAATCTCATGATACATGGCCCCATTCATTCTGTCCTGTACATGGATCAGTCGCCCTGGTGCCTTTGCAGAGAAACAGCCCCAAAGCATGATGTTGCCACCCCCCCCATGCTTCACAGATGCAACTCAGCATTCTCTCTCCTCCAAACACGACGAGTTGTGTTTCTACCAAACAGTTCTATTTTGGTTTCATCTGACCATATGACATTCTCCCAGTCCTCTTCTGGATCATCCAAATGCTTTCTAGCAAACTTCAGACGGGCCCGGACATGTACTGGCTTAAGCAGGGGGACACGTCTGGCACTGCAGGATCTGAGTCCCTGGCGGCGTAGTGTGTTACTGATGGTAGCCTTTGTTACGTTGGTCCCAGCTCTCTGCAGGTCATTCACTAGGTCCCCCCCAGTGTGGTCCTGGGATTTTTGCTCACCGTTCTTGTGATCATTTTGACCCCATGGCGTGAGATCTTGCGTGGAGCCCCAGATCGAGGGAGATTATCAGTGGTCTTGTATGTCTTCCATTTTCTAATTATTGCTCCCACAGTTGATTTGTTAACACCAAGCTGCTTGCCTATTGCGGATTCAGTCTTCCCAGCCTGGTGCAGGTCTACAATTTTGTTTCTGGTGTCCTTCGACAGCTCTTTGGTCTTCACCATAGTGGAGTTTGGAGTGTGACTGTTTGAGGTTGTGGACAGGTGTCTTTTATACTGATAACAAGTTCAAACAGGTGCCATTGATACAGGTAATGAGTGCAGGACAGAGGAGCCTCTTAAAGAAGAAGGTACAGGTCTGTGAGAGCCAGAAATCTTGCTTGTTTGTAGGTGACCCAAATACTTATTTTCCACCATAATTTGCAAATAAATTCTTTCCAAATCAGCCAATGTGATTGTCTGGATTTGTTTTCTCATTTTGTCTCTCATAGTTGAAGTCTACCTATGATGCCAATTACAGGCCTCTCTCATCTTTTTAAGTGGGAGAACTTGCACAATTGGTGGTTGACTAAATACTTTTTTGCCCCACTGTATATATATATATATATATGATATAATTTTTTTAAGCAGAGACCCTAGAGAATAAAATGGTTGTTAATGCAACCTTTTATGTTGCACAATATTTGCGCAGGGGTTTATCAAAGGCACATTTTCAGGAAAAAATACACTTAGAACCCCCCAAAATTATATATTTTAAGCAGAGTCTGGAGAAAAAAAATGGTTATTGTTGCAATGTTTTATGTTGCATAATATTTGCGCAGAAGTTTATCAAACACATATTCAGAAACAAATACACTTTAATGAAATTTAGTGAACACAAACACAATAGAATACCCACATTTTTTGGTAAAACATAAAAAGTCATGTTATGCCAAGTAAATAGAAACCTAACATGTCATGCTTTAAAATTGCATATGCCTGTGGAATGGCTCCAAACTGCAGTACCTAAAAATCTCCATAGGCAACACTTTAGAAGCCTTTACTGGTTACCAATTTAGAGTTTCATAGAAGGTATGGTACTAGAATTATTACTCTTGCTCTGACATTCACAGTGATACCTCACATGTGTGGTGTGAACACCATTTACATATGCATGTTCACATTTGCGCACGAGCATGGGGGGGATGTTTTGTATTTTATTAATTTTTTTTTACACTGTACCTTTAATTTTTTAAAATAAACTTTATTACTATAACAAGGGACGAACAACATCCCTTTTGATAGCATAACCCATGGCAGATCCTTTCTATGGAGAGATCTGGGGGTCTCATAAGACCCCATATCTCTCCTCTTGCCTCCAAAGCATCTCATCAAACTGAGATCATTTTGATCAGATGTTTTCACAAGCTGCTAACAGCTTGTTTACATGAAACCAAAACCAGAAGTGACAAAATCCTTGTTGCTTCCAGTTTTTGATGTCATACAATGGGAGGATCAACATCAGTTCCTCTCATTGTGTCCGGGGAAGCTGATGCCGCCGGTCGCATCCTTACTGGGCCCCCCAATGGAACAGGAGAGCCTGGTAAAGGTGGTGGAAGGAGGAGTGGGATCCACTTTCACCACCTTGAATGTGATCCAGTGAGTGTATAGCTGCTTAGATCACTTCTACCAAAAAGAAAATTGTCAGCTGAAAAGAACAATACCAGGATCATGACTGTAGCTGCACTCACAATCCTGGTATAACCATTTCAACCCGAGGCTGGTTTGTAAAATGTCTAAGGATGGGAAGGGGTTAAGAAGATAGAATACAGCCTCCTCTAGAGCATTGGAACATTAGTTAGTTGATCACATGACATAATTGGTGGTATTAACATTCTGGCGGCCACATGTCAGTCCCAATACATGGACCGGTCACAGGCAGTGTGCACAAAAATATTCAAAATTAAATCTGAATTCCAGGTTTGATTTGTATTGCATAGTAACATTGTTCCAGCGTGGCTCAAAATGTCATACCTGAGAGAAAGCTGACCATTGCTGTAGTAGTCAGCTAGAGTGTTGACCATGATCTTTTGGGTCCTGTGCATAGCAGATTACCCTATGCACACTGGCCACAGGGGTGTGATATGTCAACACTGCCACCATTCACAGAATTTGTTATTTCCATGCATACAAGGTGTTCTCTGATTGGATTAGGTGAAGATTATGATATTATAATGCCTCCTCTCCAACTTGTCCAGTTGATTAATTGTGAATAACGGCTCTGGTGAGCAAATGATCCTCTGTGGTCTTTGTGCCATGGGGCAGCTGCTCGGCACAGGACCCGAGAGTATGCAGCTATCACTGTAGTAGGGCCAACTACTACAGTGATTTTCAGCTTCCCCAACTGCCCCTCAGGGTATAAGATACTGCACGCTTAAACCAGCTATAGAAGGTTCAGCAGGTATCGGCTGAATTTTGATCTATCTATGGGCAGGCTAGTTGCATAGAAGTTGATCTTTCCATTGACGGTTGTACAACCAGCCTGTTGGAAAATTTTTGCTTGATCAGGACCACCGACAGAATGAGTGTATTCTAATGGTGAGGAAGTCTCCCCTCTGTCAGGGATTCCCCTATCCTCCTTGAATGTGTAGATGGGGTAGTCAATCACTTCCGCCTGGCAGTACTAGGGTCGTTGGTTCGAATCCCAGCCACAGCACCTCCTTCCTGGAGTTTGCATGTTCTCCCTGTGTCTGCATGGGTTTCCTCCGGGTAATCTGGTTTCCTCCCACACTCCAAAGACATGCTGGTAGGTTAACTGGATCCTGTCTAAATTGGCCCTAGTATGTGTATGTGTATGAATGTAAGTTAGGGACCTTAGATTGTACGCCCCTTGAGGGTTAGGGACTGATGTGAATGTACAATATATAGCTAAAGCACTGCGTAAACTGACAGTGCTATATAAGTACCTGAAATAAATAATAAATCAATTTCTTTTTTCATTCAACCCGGTGGTTGAACAAAAGTGTATGAATTATTTATAACCTGCCTTACATTGGTCTAAGCTGGACCAATGTAAGCATGCAGCAAAGATTATGAGCAGGAGGTGAGCTTTAAATTTCCTCCTAAATAGCAGATACCCAGCATGACACACCCTGCCAGGTACACCATTGCATCCTCACCAATTGACATACTAGCCTGGAATAACTGTATCGAATTGTTTCAGCCGTGTAAACACAAAGTTGCATCCTTGATCATTTATTCAATATCCTCATATTTGCATGACACAACTAGAGCTCATGATAACCAATTTTTTTTTTTATGGCAGTTGGAAGGAGAAGGTGGGATGACTTTTGACCCCATGCTGGACCATCAAGGCATATGCTGCATTGAATGTAGAAGAAGTTACACCCAGTGCCAGAGAATCTGTGAACCTCTTCTTGGCTACTATCCATGGCCATACAATTATCATGGGTGCCGCTCAGCATGCAGAATCATCATGCCCTGCAGCTGGTGGGTAGCCCGCATCCTGGGAGTTGTGTAAAATAAATGGCATTAAAATGACAGATGGAAATAACTTCAGAAAGAAAAAAAAAAAGAAGAAAAGTCCAAATTGAAAAGAACAGTGTATCAGAAAATGTTGTTGACATGTTATTTGTTGTAAATAAAGACCTAAGTTAATATGTGATGGCCACATTCATTGAGTAGAATGTGTTCAGTTCTTAGGCATGATCTCTGTATGGAAGGTGCAATAGTCTTCATGGGAATTTTCCTACACTTTACCTTCTTTTTTTATTTCTAGATTAATCTTTTCATGTAGAAACCTGTCCTGCCATGAGACATATTTGCTGACGTGATTTAGAGAAACGTTCATTTCTAAAGGTTAACTTGACTGGCTGCCGTGTTTCACATTTCTGTAGCTTGATGTAAATAAATCTCAAGTGAATTTGCACCCTGTTGTTGTTGAAGCGGATACATTTCAAACAGCGGAAACCAGTTGATGCCAGCTTGTTACTTGCTGCTGTTTCCAATCAGTAATTTCTCTGTAGATGGAGGAATAACATATTTGACAGAAACTATTTATATTTTTGACAATGTAATGTATAACACAAGTTTAGCTAATTTTATACCAATCACTGCAATAAAAAGAATAATTACTTTTTTTTTTCCACGGAATGGGCTATAATTCTCCTATGCAAATGAGTTATTTTATGTACGGTGCTCCTGAAAAAAAAAATACTCAGCTATGCTTCCTTGTCAGTCTGAATAAACTTGCGCTAATAATATCCATAGCTTGCCTAATGTGGCCAACTGAATTTCTAAACAGAGATGCTAATGTGTTCTGCAATCAGATTAATCTGATTTCCAGGCAGATTGGATTATTTTATTTTCCTGAATGCGTGCTAAAATGTCCAGCATGAACAGAATCATGCAGCTTGTGCATTCTGTTGTTCTCCAGATGTTCACAAAAACCAGGAACTATTTTGCTTGGAAAATATTTCTCTATATTTTTCCTTTAGTTTTTTAATTTCTTTGTATATTGTAATTACAGTAACTGGTGCATGAAAAGTGTCACTCTTCCATGTTTATGAAAACTGCAGAAGGTGTTCCATTTGAAGTCCATCTCTCGGCCTTCTTGGCTAGATTTAAAAAAACTAATTAAAGCAGTCTCTTGGTTGGTTTTTGCACTCGATCCACTTTTCCTTCTTCCAGGTTGACCAATCAGATCCAAGTAAGAAATCTTTAAAATTGTATTATATTGTGAAATAAATGTTTGAAAAACCCAAGCTTTTAAAAGGCCGTCAATGGCCATCGCTCCTGTAAAACATTTCATAAAGAGTAGTAAATATTATTAGGAACTGTAATATTATTCCTGATTTAAAGGGAAACAGTAGTGCATTTGAATGAATATACCTTGACTTATTGCAATGTTTACCTAAAAGGAAATGTTGTGACATTTTATACGCTTGATCTTCTATAGTTTCATGATGGAATGTCATACACAGGTTTGTAGATTTTCCCCAGAGAGTCTCTCTCTATAGTTGACAGCTTCAGTTAATATGCTTGCTTGAAAAACTACCAGAAATGTGATAACTAGCTTAGTTTTTCTTCCTAAAGTGGAACTGTGGGTAAAATAAAAAATACATGATGTACAGTATATTATATTGTCTGTCATTACCATTAACAAGCAGATTTTTTTTCTCCCCTCCCCCATTACATAGCGGTAATACCTGTTGATCCTGCCAATAGGTCTGCTATTTTTCTGCTTACTGTAGGAGGCCAAGCTGTCCAGCAAATGTAGTAGCTACAGGGTTGGGTAACAATAACACTTAGCTTTTTAACCACTTCAAGTCCAGACAATTTTACTCCCTTCCTGTCCAGGCCAATTTTCAGTGCTGTCACAATTTGAATGACAATTGCGCGGTCATGCATCACTGTACCCATATGAATTTTTTAGCATTTGTTTTGAGACAGATAAAATTTTATTTTGGTGGTATTTATTCACCACTGGGATTTTAATTTTTTTTTTGCTATATAAAAGAAAAAGTCCAAAAACTTTAAAAAAAAAAAAAGTGTTTTTCTTATAAAATTTTGCAAATAAATTATTTTTCCTCATAAATCTTGGCCAAAATGTATTCAGCTATCGCTTTAGTAAAAAAAAAATAACTCAAATTAGTTTATAACCAAAAATTATAATTTTTCAAACTTTTTTTACATTCCTATTTTATATTATTTATGTTTGGGTTTTTTTTTTAACATACTGTCACCCTAGCAGGTACCTTGTCACCATAGTGACACTGTACTACTTGTGGGGGGTGATGAAGATTTTTTTTTTTTACACTGATTGCGGTTACACCCATAAAGGCTGTAAAAGCAATAATTTCTCTTTCTCTCTGGCTGCATTCTTGCAGCCATTGAGAAATACTGTGTGAGCTGTGATTGGTCACAGCTTGTCACATGGTACAAGGCTGTTGTGAATAGCCTTGTACCATGCGACCTCTGTGATCATTCACAGATTTCACATGTAGTAAGCAATGATGTCAGGAAGCGACATCTTGCTTTCTACTATTCATGTGATCACTGATTGGCCAATTAGTGATCACATGATCGGGACCTCACACAGAGGTCTCGTACAGCAATCAGTGTTCCACTGTGTCAGAAGGACACAGCGGGCACCAGATCGCTGTGTGCGTGCTCCCAGGGTACGCGCGCACATGCTAAAATGGCGGGCGCTGTTTATGAATGGCAACCCGCCCCTGCAATGCTCCCGTCCGGCCATTTCTATACATGGGCTGGACGGGAAGTGGTTAAAAGTGTTAGCTGGACTTTAATTTTTTGCCGGATACTTAGTGCTGGTTCACATATACTGTATGTGGATTGGATGTGGTTTGAACCGAATCCAATCCGCATGACATGTGAAATAACATTGCTCCCTATGGTGCCTGTTCACATATATCTGGTGCACTGGTGGTGCGGATTCAGTTCGGTTTGAAAAAGAGTCATATACAATTTCTGAGCAGTGCCCTCAGGTTCAGGTGCAGATTACAGGCTGTTGACTTCTATAGGAACCGTTTCTAAACTGCACATGTGGGAACAGGATAAAATCCTGACCTAATCCTATCCTGAACCTGATGTAAACCTGACATTAACCGCTGAACAATTACTGTATTAATTAGCTGTGAAACCTGAGCTTCAATCCGCACCGCACATGTGTGAATCAGCTCTTAAGGGAAGATTTACTAAAACTGGTGCACAGAAAATCTGGTGCAGCTTTGCATGGTAGCTAATCAGCTTCCAATTTTTATTGGCAAAGCTCAATTGAACAGGCTAACGTTAGAAGGTGATTGGCTGCCATGCAAAGCTGCACCAGGTTTAGTAAATCTTCCCCTTAAAGTCCATTTAAAACCACATACCCATTTAAGACAACCCTATCAGCAGGGTGACAGTGTTGCTGTGCAATATCACAGCAATACAAACATCATTATCACCTTGTTAAAAGAAGCGGAAAAACTATGGATCTACATAAACCCAGAATTTATAGGTAATAAAATTTTGTCATGGGTGGCAAATAAAAACTGCTGAGTTAACACTACAGCAGTGACCGACTATATCATGTGTCATTTTTCATTTGCCCAAAGTTCCCCAAACCAGCCAATCAGAATATACACTATATTGGCAAAAGTATTGGGACGCCTGCCTTTACACACACATGAACTTTAATGGCATCCCAGTCTTAGTCCGTAGGGTTCAATATTGAGTTGGCCCACCCTTTGCAGCTTTAACAGCTTCAACTCTTCTGGGAAGGCTGTCCACAAGGTTTAGAGGTGTCTATGGGAATGTTTGACCATTCTTCCAGAAGCGCATTTGTGAGGTCAGGCACTGATGTCGGACGAGAAGGCCTGGATCACAGTCTCCGCTCTAATTCATCCTAAAGGTGTTCTATCGGTTTCAGGTCAGGACTCTGTGCAGGCCAGTTAAGTTCCTCCACCCCAAACTCACTCATCCATGTCTTTATGGACCTTGCTTTGTGCACTGGTGTGCAGTGATGTTGGAACAGGAAGGCACCATCCCCAAACTGTTCCCACAAAGTTGGGAGCATGAAATTGTCCAAAATGTCTTAATATGCTGATGCCTGCACTGGAACTAAGGGGCCAAGCTACCAAACTTTACACTTGGCACAATGCAGTCAGGCAAGCACCGTTCTCCTGGCAACTGCCAAACACAGACAGGTCCATCAGATTGCCAGACAGAGAAGCGTGATTTGTCACTCCAGAGAACACATCTCCACTGCTCAAGAGTCCAGTGGCGGCATGGTTTACACCACTGCATCTGACACTTTGCGTGGCACTTGGTTATGTAAGGCTTGGATGCAGCTGCTCGGCAATGGAAACTCATTCCATGAAGCTCTCTACACACTGTTGTGCTAATCTGAAGGCCACACAAAGCTTGGAGGTCTTTAGCTATTGACTCACCAGACAGTTGGCGACTTCTGTGCACTGTGCAGTTCAGTGTGCGCTGACCCCGCTCTGTCATTTACGTGGCCTACCACTTCGTGGCTGAGTTGCTGTTGTTCCCAGTTGCTTCCACTTTGTTATAATACCACTAACAGTTGACCCTGGAATATTTAGTAGCAAGGAAATTTCATGGATGGACTTATTGCACAGGTGGCAACCTATCACGGTACCACGCTTGAATCCACTGAGCTCCTGAGAGTGACCCATTCTTTCACAAATTTATGTAGAAGCAGTCTGCATGCCTAGGTGTTTGATTTTATATACCTGTGGCCATGAAGGTGAAAGGAACACCTGAATCCAATGATTTGGAGGGTGTCCCAATACTTTTGGCAATATAGTGTATCTTGTACTGAGCCAAATTTAGAAAAGTGCACACTGATTAGTACGGGTTACTGAATAGTTAGCATTTAGTTAGATCTTTGCTGAATGAGGGTATAGAGCATATTGTTTTCAGTCAGTTGGGAAAGAATGCCCTGTGAAATGAGAACAGTAATGAATATCACTGTAAAGCCTGCACTGTATATGAAACTAAATAATATACACAGAAATGAATTGATTTATCTGAAAGCAAAAACCAAAATATCCTAAAAATACTGTATGGTAAGTTGGCTGTTAAAATTACAAAGCAAAAAAGGAGACTTCGCATTGTCATAGGGTCAAGACATAAATGTTGTAGCGAATGCAGAAATATTCAAATTCACTCACAAGTGTAGCCCATTTGCTGCTCTTTCTTCAGAAAATGCCAAATATGAAGCTGCAAAATTATAGGGTTTTTTTTTCAGCAAATGTCAGAGAATGTTTAACAGTAGTGGCTATGGATTGAAGGTAGTTGTGTAACTGACCGATTTGTCTAGATTAAAATGGATATAGATCTTTATAAACCAATAACAAATAAGCCTCAAATAAAACAATGAATACATAGAAATAGGATCCAAAGACATCCAACAACGTTTGTCATGTTTAATTTATGAAATTTACATCTAGTGACATTTTGGTATGCAAACATGTATATGAATGCAAATCTGTGTGCATAGAAACTAATCTAAAGTGTATCCATAGAGTACACATTATGAGTTGAACGTTTTTTTAAGCAATTTCTAATTTGTTTTAAGCTTGTTTTTTGCATTTTATATTTTACTGTAACCCTAGTGGTGACTTGTATGTCTAAAATCAGGGAGGACTTTAGTTATGTCACAGATGGCCAAACATCTTTGGCTGACGATAGATGGATTTGTTTGTTTTTTTTTTTGAACAGCCAATCGATAGAAGTCACTTGTTAGATTGGCTTTTTTTGAGTGGGAATAGAAATTTGGCTGCTGTGTGCTGAACTGGAAGAATTTCAATTCATCTATGGCCAGTTTTAGTTAGAATGAGCCTGGGTTCAGACATAAGTGGTGCGGGAAACCGTATTTGATTCACATAGAAATTGCACTGCATTCCTGTTCCAATCACATGTGATTCTTTGCAGTACGAATTAAGTCCATTCATTTTGTATAGCTCAAAATGCACCACACCAGCATGAAAAGGGTGCAGCCTTTTAATTATTTTGGCGCACTGGAATCAGATCATGTGGGAGTTCACCCATGCGATCCAGTTCTGGCAATCACACTGTGTTTTGCGACCTCTGTTTGGGGTGTCATTTTTACATTGGCATCCGCAGCAGATCGCATGAACACAATGCGATTCGGATGCGGTGTGGGAACACACAGGATTCACGGCATTTCCCACATATACTGTATGTGAACCTAGGCTAAGTGACAATAAGACATTTGCCAGTCATCAAATGTTTTTCAGCTCTTCCAAGATCTGGCTTGACCTCTCTAGCTCAGATGATGACTTTAGCAGTAGATGCATTCTGAAGCCTAAACTTTAAATCGTTATTTTGGCCCAAGCTCGTCACAATCTCCAAAGAGCTCATCCTGGTTGGGAAAGTGATCTTCTGGGAATCTCCACCACTAATCTAGGAAAAGGGAGAAAGACTGACATACACTGTCTTCAAAGTCTGATTGCTATGAGATTCAGGGATTTATATTACAGTCATTACTGTGTATAATGGCCAGACTGCTACAGCTGCTGGTTGCATTTCAGTCTTCATCTCCATAAAGGATGTTCTCTGCTAAGATTGCTGACAGGGACTAAAATGCTGATCAACCTACTAAACTGTAAGAACATCATCTCAGTCTTAAATGTGCATGTGCTTACAGCGGTAATAATCCGCCAAAAGAAAAAAAAAAAAATCAGGTCCCCTGCAGGTTTAAGTCATAACGTATGAACTGCATACTAGTACAAGAGAATCACCTGCACACTGAGCCCTCCAGCGCAGCTCTGTCACGGCTCCTGGGCATTTCCATCTTCCACATTGGTGGGCTCTGGCTGCTCAAATGGCTGGTGCTGCAATGACATCACTCCTATGTATACGCATGGGAACCCCCGCCCCAGCACAGAGCGCTGAAGGTACAGCTTTGGTCTTTCATCCCTTCAGAGCACTTGTGCCAGTGATGTCACAGGCTGCATGCCATGTGAATATCTCCCAAACAGTGCAAGTTTAGTAGATATTCACTGTACCTACAGGTAAGTCGTACAGGCTTACCTGTAGGAACAAGTTAAAAAGTGGACTTTCCTTCCACTTTAAGAGCACAAACCCGTTTATAGCTGAAGACCAGTCTCCCAAGTGGCAGCAGCCCTTTATATATATATATATATATATATATATATATATATATATATATATATATACACACACACACACATATATATATATATATACACATATACAAAATCAGATTGAGCGAATCACATGTTTTTATCTCAGAGGTGTTCAACCTTTTTATGACAGGACCAAAAGTTCTGTGAGTTCCTGTTGGTCATTTTGCACTTAATTCTGTCCTCAAAATTCTGTGCCATTGTTACCCAATTGAAAAAAATACCGTATCTTATAACCTCCAAACAAGACTGTGGGATACCATATGAGTTTCCTCCTCTTCAGAAGTCTCTCCATCACCGAGTTGAAAGATGGACAGCCTTTCCACAGGAACTCAGAGATTGAGTCCTGCCAGGAGACTTTTAAAAAGAAGGTAGTGTACCACCCAGATACAAACATCAAAGTACTCAGAAGAGCAGAGGACAGGTATTGACAGGGTGGCATCATTTAAATAGCCTTTAAAAGATATAATCTTGTAAAATTGTTAGATGTGTGTAAAGCTGACCATTCACATTACAGTCTGATTATACAATCTCATTTAGATCTACCAGCATTCATGCAGTGCAAGGGGCTGCTGACTGTATACAAACTTAATGGATTTTTTTTTTTAGATACAAATTGCAACAAAACAACCAAAAAAGTACCAAAAAAAAAAATCACACAGCAGCAGGAAATGCGTATTTATTTATATACATGTATGCATATACAGTGTGTACATAGTTATGATTGTACATGAATGTCTTTTGTACAAAAAGTCTTCCATACACAAAAGAGAAACCAAGAATGCATGATGTTGAGGTATTGCCAAGACCTAGAATAACCCTGGGTATGTTAAGAGAGTGTGGAACACAACTTACCACTGCAACGGAAGGGTTTGGTCACGCTGCATTGGCAGTGGGAAGGGCATAAAGGAGAGTTGTTCATTCGAACTTAAAAAAGTGTTACTAAACCCACAACAGTAAAATCAGTCTGTATATGCAATAAAGCATGCTTGTTATACACACTGTGGAACCTAAAGGGTTACTCCTCTGCATTGTGTAAAAAGGATGTTTCAGCCTGTCTTTTCTGATCCTCCTCATATTCTACTGTCCCCAATCCATCTGCTGATAGTACAGAGCCTAGGAGTCACTCTGCACGTGCTGATTTCGGTGTGTGTTGCTAAAGAGTATTTTTATTTCTTTGAGTGGGTGCATGTGATCAGCATAGGGCCAATCAGCACTGCCCAGACAGAGGGTTAGGGGTCCTGCAGCCTAATAGGACAATCATGGAAGAATGAAAACTCCCCCTACAAGCTTTAACCAGTGCTCTGCTGGAGACTGATAGAAGTCGCAAGACTGCTATATACCGCTGATAAGAAAAGGTTTTTTAGCCGTTTATATTTACTAAAATAATTGCATTTCCATATTCTGTGTACTGTTGGAGACCAGATATAGTGAATGCAGGGTCCTGGGTTTAGTAACACTTTAAGCCTACTAATTGTGTACACGACCTACAGTCCTTGTTAACCTCAACATTTTCTTTAGTTACTATGCCCCAAGCTGGAGTCTTACAGATACATACCGCAACAAAAAACATTTTTGAAAGATTTCCCATTTCCATTAAACATAACATATTCATATTCTTAAACCACTAAATAATGTACCTTGCACTCCCGGACTTCTGCACTCCCAGCATCCAGAGTGGTCAGGATTATGTAACAAAAATGCCCTGCATGCAGAGTGCAGTGACCAGGAGCATGCAAAATACAGTCCAGCACAGAATGTCATGGTCAGCTAACTTGAAGAAAAATCTGTTGATTTTAAGGGGAATATTATTGAAGTCAATAGGAGGATAAGTCTGTACAGATTACCTTGACATGGCGTTCCTCCTTATAACTTAAACCCAGTTTACCATTTTTTTGTTGATTTTATAAGGCAATTTTCCTATGTCTTGGTTCACACCATGTGAAGTGTCTAAGTACCAGGTAGCTAAGACCTTGTAGATTGTGGGTCTTCCCTGGTGATTTCAAGCTCAAGAAGATGATCTCTCAATTCTTGGAAGTTCTGTTTGTCACTCTAGGAAAGTCCAGCACATTCTTTTAGTTCAGGGCTGCCATAAATTTAATCTAATCTTCCTCATGCAAGATTAAAGCACTTTTCTGGCTTGTGGATGTGAACAGCTTGAGATCTCTTAACAGAGCCCGACAACTGAGGACCTGTTTGTTTCATAACTGTCTCTAAAGCTCATCTGGGATTAAAATAACTTTTCTCCCACCATCTTCTAGCTGATCAGTAACATGAAAAAAGAAAACAAAAAAATCACTTATCTGAAACCGTGGTCATACTTTTATTACCCAGAAGAAGGCCAACAGTCTAAGGGGAGACGAGGATTAGTGGTTTTGGGTGCACTTGTGGCGGTAGATAGGCAGTCCCCGCACCTGGAAATAGCATCAGTAAGGAAACAGGATGGAAGAACTTGAGTATAATGTTACTTCAACATGTAAGAAATATAAAACTCCTTACAATATGGGTTAGAGAGAAGGGGAACATAATTTGCCTGG